AAAAAATTCTTTTAAAATGAAGGTTTAGATTACTTTTCAAGTGTACACTTTCCAAAGAACTAAATTTTAGATTGAATCCATCTAATCTTTTGAGTAGATATTGTGAATATAAATTGTTCTTAATGGAAATAATTTCAGAGGTTCACCCAGCCTCCATGGATCCAGCAAGTCTGGATTCCATGGGAATTTGAAATTCTGTTCTATATTTTCTCCCTTGCTACTTAATTGTCTCTCCAAATTTTCCATATAGCGTGGTAAATGAATTAATGCTCTTTATAACAATGAATATTATTAGTTGGTGGGGGTGTAATGATATGGTGATAATAATTTCTACACAAATTTCCTCTAAATTTCCCCAGGGAGTTTCCTGGACCACCGTCCGCTACATGACAGGAGAAATTCAATATGGAGGGAGAGTCACGGATGACTACGATAAGAGACTGTTGAACACTTTCGCTAAGGTTTGGTTCAGTGAAAATATGTTTGCCCCCGATTTCAGCTTTTACGAAGGATACAATATTCCAAAATGCAGCTCTGTGGAGAATTATCTTCAGTATATTCAGGTTGGTCAATATTGGAATATTATGTCTATGTCAATTAATTATGTCTACATCAACTAACGACAATCATTTTACCTTTCTATATTAATTGTATGTTCTTTAAAATTAATTTGAATGCTGATCTGTAGTAATCTTTCACCATGAATGCTTTTCTATAGTAATTTTATATTCACTTGATGATTAAAATATTATTCTGGAATGTGTTTTGTGTGACTCTCCCTAACCCTCTTTTCTTTGAGTGTCTCAGAGAGGAATAGACTTTGGAGGTGGGGGTGGATGAGTGGTTTGGCATTATGGAACCTGCACAAAGTCCTTGGAACCCTCTTCCCGTGAGACTTCCATGAGACCACTTCGTCGGCAAAGGCAGCCACTAGCCTCTGCTCCGTTTTTCAGTCTTCTTGCCTCATCTCGTGCCCTGGTTTCTAATCTAGCCATGCAGATAGCCCATGGCCTTGTCCAGGAACCCACTTGGCATCAATACTTCCTCTAAGATAGGGTTTCTCAACCTCAGCACGTTCAGGGGTGGGTAGTTTTGTTGTTTTATTGTGAAGGGCTATCCTGTTCACTTTGTGAACTTGAGCCACATCCCCGACCTCAGTCTACTAGATACTAGAATCCCTTCCCTCTCCCCACAAGCTGTGACTAGAGCCCAAACCAAAGCAACCCATTGCCACCGAGTGGAACCCAACTCATAGCGACCCTATATAGGGTCTCAGAGTCTATGAATCTTTGTAGGATCCCACAGCCTTATCTTTCTCTCATGGAGTGCCTAATGGGTTTGAACCACTTACCTTGTGGTTAGCAGCCCACAATGCTTAACTCACAAATAATGGCAACCAACAATATCTCCACATGCTGTCACATGTCCCTGATGGGGTTAAGATCACTCTCAGTGGAGAACAGCTACTCAGAGAAAGAATGAAATAAATTTTGACAGGAAATTTGGAGATATGCACGTAAAAAACATGATTTGCGTCTCCGAATGAACACATGTTCTGTCTCTGTACCTTGGATTCATCAGACGATTACTTAGTCATCTCCTCCTCCTCAGCCGGTTATCTCTGAGTTAACAAACAGAAGCGAAACCCCAAAGGGCTAAATTTATCAGTGTATTTTGAGGTTTATTGAAATATAAATGTTAGGGGTTTATTATATATTACCACCCGAACTATTTGATTAATTCAAATCAACCAATATATTTGTCCTAACTATACTACCTGTGGTTTTAAATCATTAGCAACAATTAGGAAAAGAGCCTATATAGGTATAAATATAGGTTTGCCTGTATATACATGCATTTATAGGCACTTCATTCCACAATGAACTGGAAGTAGCTTATAAGAAAGTGTTATGTAAAAAGGAATTAAGTAAAGAAGTAGAAGGAAGTGAAAGATATGAATAAACAACAATAATCTTAGACAAGATTAACACAATATTTGTTCTCTCTGTCTCTCTCTCTCTCTCTTCTCTCTCCCTCTCTCTCAACATTTCCCTCTTTTCCTAGCATCTGATTTTCTCCCTACAAGAGTACAACTCCCACCTGGGATCTAATTGCTAAACCTGTCATTTCCGTGGGTCTTGACAATATAGTCATTAATTACACAGCGTTTATTTAGACAACTGGCTGAAATTAGGTAAGACCCTTAAGAAACAAGATGCCAAGCCACAAATGGCCTTCTCATCACATGTGTTATATAACCAGAGGGCATGCTTTGATTCAAGATTGTAGTCACGCATCTTAGAGAATTGTGTGTCTGGGGTATGACTTTCAATGCTTGCTGCATTTTGCAAGGCAACAGCTGAGTCTTCTCTGGTGAAGTTATTGATGTCTACACTATGAGATAAAAAAGGACAATTCGTGTAACTGCTTATCCTAAGAAAAGCATTTTTATTTTATAAGACTGTCTAAGAGGAACTCTGGTTGCACAGTGGTTAAAGTGCCCAGCTGCTAATGATAAGGTCAGAGGTTCAAATCCAACAGCAGATCTATGAGAGAAAAATGGGGCAGCCGTGTGCTTCTGTGAAGTTTTATAACCTTGGAAGCCCTTTGGGCGTAGTTTTCTTCGGTTCTCGGAGTGGCTAGGACTTGGGGCCAACTTGGCAGTGGTGGGTTTGGTTTTGGGTTTAAGACGGTATAACTTGACTGTGCTTGTGCCTGCCATCTCTGCTTACCTGGAGTCCTTGTTGACAGAGTTTGCCTGCGTATGACAGCCCTGAGGTGTTCGGGCTGCACCCCAACGCGGACATCACCTACCAGAGCAAGCTGGCCAAGGATGTGCTCGACACCATTCTGGGCATCCAACCCAAGGACAGCTCCAGTGGCGGGGATGAGACCCGAGAGGCGGTGGTGGCCCGGCTGGCTGACGATATGCTGGAAAAGCTGCCCCCAGACTACAGCCCCTTTGAAGTGAGTCGATGAGAGTCTGACCAAATGTCAGCTGTGTGTGTGTGTGTGTGTGTGTGAGTGTGTGAGTGTTTGCTTGACTGGGGGAGTCAGAGAAAAAAATACAACCCCCTTCTCTGATTTTTAGACGATTAATGAAAAGGTATCATTTCTTGATACATTTCTGAATCTCTGAAGGTAATGGTTTTGAAATATAAATAAAGCAAGCAAATAAGTTCTAATATTTGTAACGAAACGAAAAGGATACACCGACTAACTCACTGTTCTTGAGTCAACTCAAAGCGAGGCTCTAAACTCAAACTAAACCCACTGCCACTGAGTCGATTGTGACTCATCGCAACAGGCGCTGTCAATCTTTACGGGAGCAGACGCTGGTCTTTCCCCTGCAGAGCAGGTGGTGGCTTTGAACTGCTGATCTGCGGCTAGCAGTGCCAGTATGTAACCTGCCACACCACCAGGCCTCCCAGTGACCCTATCAGAATAACACTGATCCTTAGGGTTTCTGAAAGGGAGTTCTGGTGACATAACGGTTATGCATTTTGCAGCTAACCACAGGGTCAACAGTTAGAAACCACCACCCACTCCATAGGAGCAAAACGAGGCTGCCTGCTCCTTTAAAGTTGAAGCATTGGAAACCCATTGGGGAAGTTCTGCCCTGGCCTATAGGGTCACTATGAGAAGGAATCAACTTGATGGCAGTGAGTTTGATTCCCCCCCCCCCCTCTGTGGCTGTAAGTCTGTCTGTATAATTGCATAGCCTGCCTCATTCTCTCCTGTGGAGCAGCTGGTGAGTTCAAGTGGCAAGTAGGCTTGAACTACCAAACTCGGGTTAGCACTCTCGTACTTCACCTGTGTGTCCCCAGGGCTCCTTTCCATGGGTGGCTTAGTTTTGCTTTTCTAGAGCCCTCTCCAAAGGTTCTTTGCTTGGCCTTTTGTTCTAAAGAAAGCACACTCTATTCTTAGATGGAAGCAGCCAGATTATTCAAAACAGAAAATGCTATTTCCTTGAAGGCACACCTTGAAATCTAGGCTTTCCTATGACGGGCAGCTGGCATTTCCACCTATCCATCTTCTTCACAGTGTGCGGCTTCTTCATCCCACTAGTTTTGAAAATCAATTTTATTAAAAAGGAGGCAAGTGACTTCTAAGGAAAATTTATGATTATGAAAGTTGGATATTTTAGATAGTTTTATAGCTATTATGAAAAGATTTATCCTAATATTAACTTTTTAAAAAAAGGCTTTGCAAAATCCGTAGTAAGTGGCTTCCTTTCCACGTCGTCCTAACAGATGACCGGAATTAACCGCATGACACTTTTGTCATTGGCCCACATATCATTTTGTCCCTTTAGCATCTTATTGTCTTCCACTGCGCAGGGCCTTCTGCTGCTAATACTAGAGTGAACTCAAGGACCTGTACTCCAGAGAATCATTTTCCCCGGAAGGAGGCATGTGCCCTTACTTGGAAACAATACTATTGCTAGCATAAGGAGCCCTGGTGGCACACTGGTTAAGTGCTAGCCCAGAGGTCAACTTAAACACTCCTTGGAGGCAAAAGACCCGAAGAACTGCTTCCATAATGATGTTTAAGCAGTTCTACCCTCCGTCTCATGGGGTCAATGTGAGTAGGCACTGACTCGATGTCCCCCAACAGCAGCGGCAGTTTTCATAAACACCCTTCATTTTAATACTGGCAAAGAGATTGTTGGTGCCTGAAGGTGGATGAAATATCTATGAAGCCATCGGAACCCACTGCTATTAAGTCGTTGTCAGCCTATCACACCCCTATAGAAGGTTTCTAAGACTTTTCCTCTTTATGTGAGCAGACAGTCTCCTCTTTCTCCCATGGAGCGGCTGGTGGGTTTGAACCACCAACCTTAATATTAACAGCTTAACCCACAGTTTCACTAGAGCTCCTTTGAAATGTTTAGATATTTAATGATAATTACATAAATAAAAGTGGAGCCCTTTGGCATATTTCAAGCCTGGAACTGAACTCACCCCCTTGGATCAAGTTTCAGCCAAACAGTAGACAGGACTGCGAAGGGGCACATGATGCCCACGAAGAACGCATTCCTGAGGACATCCAGCCCTGCCAGACCGAAGGGGACGCATTAGCTCAGAACCCAGCGCGCAGAAGGCGGGGGCAGAGGCTGAGCGGATGGGGAGCTCAGGGAGGAAGCAGGAAGAGTGCTGAGACTGTGGGGACTGCAATGAATGTCGTGACCCACATTATCCAAGTGCATCTTTTCAAATCAATATATAAACAGAAACATTATATAAAGTCGGCCCCTTTATCGAATAAAATGATATTATAACAAAGCAAAATGTTAAAGATTTGAGCCCACACAGAGAGCCTCCAATAAAGGCCTGGTGATCACTTTTAAAAACAGTTCTAATCTGGTACACATGGAGCCCCAGGAGTTGGAATCTAATTGATGTAACTAATTTAATCTTAGGGTAAAGCCACTCAGCCAAGGAAATATCTGCTCTCTCTTTGATTGAGTTCTTCTGTTTTGTTTAGTCGTGGCTTTTCGTTTTTTGCTTGTTTATTGGCTTTGTCTATGTTTTTGTTTTGTATGGTTTTCTGAATATAAAATCCAGAATAGTAGATATACACAGAGAGTGTCTGTTTAGGGCATGCAGGAGAGGATGGGGGCAGTGGGAATGGGGAACTGAGAACAACAATGGGTGTGAGAAGAAAATGTTCTGAAATGGATTGTGGTGATGATGATACAAATCTTCTTAATATGATCGAATGATTAAATTGTGTGATAGGTGAAGAATATCGCAATGAACCTATTAAAAATACCTACTGGGATGAAAATTAATAAATGAGTGGATGGACAGATAGATGCTAGCTTTTATTGGAAAAAATAAAAACAAAAAAGCCTTTAAAACAGAAGTTCCAGTTCTCTGAGGCAGTCAGCAAAATAGCTGTGTTTGTGCACACACTTGCTTGCATGCATCCTTAAGTGGGTCTGGCTGTGGTCAGGTGGGCGGTAGACGATGATTTCCTCCTAATTGCAGCGGCTAATTTAGAAATCTGTGTGGCTGTAGCCATGTTTTGTCATTTTCTGTGAGTGAATGATTGCCTATTATTGTCCACCAAGAATGAACAAAATCAGATTAATCAACTAACAGACATTCCTTTTCATGTACTTTTTTTCTGGCAGTAAAAAGGAAAAAAAAAGGATGGTTTATGAAATTGTAAGACGTGGAGCCTTTCCGGAAACCCCAGGGTGCAGTTCTATGACCTCTTCAGTCCCTGCCTACTCATTGTGTGTTCTGAACGTTCTCATGGCAGGTGAAGGAGAGGCTGCAGAAGATGGGGCCGTTCCAGCCCATGAACATTTTCCTCAGGCAGGAGATAGACAGGATGCAGAGGGTGCTCAGCCTCGTCCGGACCACCTTGACGGAGCTCAAACTGGCGATTGATGGCACCATCATCATGAGGGAGAATCTACGAGACGCTTTGGATTGTATGTTTGATGCCAGAATTCCTACTCGGTGGAAAAAAGTATGTACACGCCTGCTCCTAATCTGCTCATCTGCACAGTGGTTTTATTGTTGGGAATGGTTGGATTTCGCATGTGGGAAGCACCTAGGGTTGACTTATTTAAAAGCATTCTTTTGCCTACAGACTAATGCCTATACGATACTGTGGTTGTGTTTGTTGTTGTCCAGTTGATTCCAACTCATGGCAACCCCATGTGTTATGAAGTAGACCATGTTATTGTGTTGTTAGGTGCCATCAAGTAGGTTCTGACCCACAGCGACCCTATGCACAGTGGATTGAAACACTGCCCGGTCCTGCATCATCCTCACCATTGTTCCTAGGCCTGGGCCCATTATTGCAGCTACTGTGTCCATCCATCTCACTGAGGGCCTTCCTCTTCTATGCTGCCCCTCTACTTTACGAAGCATGATGAGTTTCCTTAATACAATCTTAACACAAGCTGATCAGTAACCATATGTTCTACAGTACTGCCAGGTGGGTTTGAACTGGCAATCTTTTGGCTTCTACATTCATTCATACATAAAATATTGCAATTATAATACACAGTTATAAAGATGACAGGAGATGCTGGTCGGGGCAGCTGCTCAGAGTAATGATGACAAATACACGATGATTGTAAGAATGGACATTCCAGAAGAGGATTCAGGGAGAATGCAGTTAATTTGTGGACTTTAAGATGGTGCTGTTCAGTCAACATTGGACTTCTAACCGCAGTGTCAGGGATCAGACCCACCAGCTGCTTCATGGGAGAAAGATGAGACTATTTGCTCCCAGGAAAATGTACAGCTTCACAGTGCTGGGATTATGCCCAATCTGACCCCACCACTCTGCAATGAAACGCTAAGGGTGTGTAACGGAGCTGCAAGGGGAGCAAAGCAATGAAGTCCTCAGGGAATACCAAAAATAGACTTTGGGCTCAGGGAGTGGCACCCCATCAGACTCAATGGGAAAACACTCCTAAAGGTCAACAAACAGACCTGGAACTATTTATAGGCTTTTCTTTTTCTTTCTTTTTTTTTGTAGTTGTTCTTTTGTTATTTTGTTTTAATCTGCCTCATTTTTTGTGCTTAATATTGTCTCTGTGTGTCTATCTAGATAAGGTAGGTGGGATAAATAATCCAGAGGAGAAAACAATGGGACTACCAGTTCTGGGGGACACGGGAAAGGAGGAGGCAGGGGAAAGGAAGTGGGTGTTAACAAACCCAGGGACAAGGGAAAACCAAGTGATCTAAAATCAATGGCGAGGGGGTACAGGATGTCTGGTAGGGCTTGATCAAGGGCAACATAACCGAGAGGAAATATTGAAACCTGAATGAAGGCCAAACATGATAGTGGGACAAGAGGAAAGTAAAAGGAAATAGAGGAAAGAACTAAGAGGCAAATGGGCATTTATAGAGGTCTAAATATGGACATGTACATATGTAAATATATATGATAGGGAACTAGATCTAAATACATATATTTATATGTTAAGAATTAGGGTAGCAGACAGACATTGGGCCTCTACTCAAGTACTCCCTCAGCACAAGAACACCTTGTGCTAATAACCTGGCATTCTGTGATGCTCACCTTCCTGACACAATTACTGAAGACAAAATGGGTGCATAAGCAAATGTGGTGAAGAAAGCTGATG